TCTTATAGTCCAATGAAGATTCTTCTCTAATTAATATGACATATTAGGTTGTTCAGAAAGTAAGTTCGTTTTTTTTTCCACTAGACAGATTAGTCGTATTTTTCCTGCCATTTTCATTCTAAACCGTATTATCAATATATATTTTGACAGCTAGCATTTTAAGGCTTATTTGTAAGATTTTGTTTGATTCTGTGCAACTGTTCATTTTTTGTGTCTCATCAAATATGGAAGATCAAAAGCATCATTTTCGGCATATTTTGTTTTGCTTTTTTTATTACCAAAAAATCAAAATGCTGTTCAAGCAAGAAAAAAATTGTGTGACATGTATGGAAAAGATGTATTGATAGAACAACAGTGCCAAAACTGGTTTACAAAATTTCGTTCTGGCAATTTCAATATTGAAGATGCACCATGTTCTGAATGGCTAGTTGAAGCCAATGAAAACAAAATAAAGGTACTGATTGAAGCAAACTGCCAAATAACAACATATGAAATCGCTAAGAAATTAAATTTGTCAAATTGAACCATTTATGATTACTTGAAACAAATTTATTTTGTTTCAAAGCTTGACATATGGGTTCCACATGTTCTTAAAGAGAGATGCTCTCTTTGGTGGGATTTTAAGAAAATTTTTTTGGAGCTTTTACCAGACAATTTAACAATTGATTCAAAAGTGTACTGCCATCGAGTAAACAAACTGAGTAATATCATCAAACAGAAAAGGCAGCCAGAATTGATCAACAAAATAGGTATAGTGTTTTACCACGATAATGTCAAATTTCACACAAGTTCGGTAACTCGTCAGAAACTGTTATAACTTAGATGGGATGTACTATCATACCAACCATATTTGCCAGAATGAGCACACTCAGATTATTACTTGTTCCAGTCTATACAAATTTTTTTAACTGTAAGACATTTACTTGAAATGACAATGTCAAAAATCACTTGGATCATTTTTTGTAAGCAATGATCAAAACTTTTATGAATTTGCAGAAGTGTGTACTACATTAGGAGCTTGTTTTGAAAGTAGTGCAGTGTAAGAGTTTTGTATGTTGAGGAATAAAACCTGTACCAAAAACATGGTTTATTTTTGACTACTACTTAAGTTTATAATAATGCTAAAAATATCTTTTCCAAAATAGACCGTTTAGAATTTTGAATGCAGTAATATAACTGAAAACAGATTACTATTATTATTATACTGTGTATCATTAAATTGAATATATCTCAATAAGAAAAAAAGTGTTCCATTAATTTCTTTTCTATATTGCTTTGCATCTATCTTTCCTGCTTGTAGATTTAAAACAAAAGTTTCAATACAATTTTTTTTTATCAATACTTTTTAGTACTTTCAAATCATTTAAAACATTTTCATGACTTTAACATAAAATTAATGCATTATACTAATTCATCAAATGACCAGAAAAGCAATTAATAAAGAAATGCATTACTAATATAAAAGTATTTTTATTTTAATTCTATAAATTATTTTAATTTAATTCTATTCTATTATTTTAATTCTACTAATTCACAAAAGTTAAATCTAGTTTTAAAAAAATTTTCTTCTCCAAACCAAATTTTTTCTGATTTTTTATTATTCTAAAACTGTTCTAGAACAAATTTATATGAAAGTAAATAGAATTGATTTAAATATTAAAAGATGAAAATATTCAAAATATCTTTTGCCTTAATTTCTTTTTCACATAGTATTGTTCTCTTATTTAGAAACACTTTACAAAGTCAAAAAAAAAAAAACTTATGGTCCACATAAATTCAAATAGACTACTCATTATGATATAGAAATGTACATGAATCAACACTCACAATAGGTAATTATAAAAGCATTTTGTTTATACAGAATAATAGATATCACTTACCCATAACTTATCATCTTTGCCTGGTGGACTCTTTTGAATAAAGGCTCCATAGTAAGTGGCAATATTGCGATGGTGAGAAAACTGAAAAAAATTTGAACAATTTCTTCAATAAATGTTAATTTTTTTACACAGAATTCCATATTATGTTCATATATTATGCAATTATTGATTAAATAACAATTAGATTAATTAAAACACCTACATATGCAATTAAAACTTTTCAAATGTAAAATTATATATTTAAATAAAACATGTTTATGTATCTTTTTCCCTGATTTATTTTGATGTAAAATAGTATTATGACCCTGAAATCTATTTGACAGTTTTCAGGCCCATAATGCTATTTTACAATGTTTTATTTTGGAATTTATTTTTCATATAGGCAGGGTTTCATTTTTTAGAAGGTCAACATTTTAAAAGATCAACTTTAGACACATCTAAAATATGTCTAAAGTTGATCTTCTAAAATGAACTAATTGAATTGATAAATGAATGACATCAACGTAAAAAATGTATTGCAAGTATAGCAGAAATAATCTGCATTTGTATAAATTATGTTAACTAATTAAAATATTTTATTATTTTAAAATGTACATGAAATTGTAAATGAACAATCATCAATCCCAATTTATTAATATTAATCCAAATACCCAATTGCCAGATTTTTCATGCTCCACTTACACTATTAATTTAAATCAATAGCCCAAACAGCCTGATCTGTTAAAGTTAGGTAATTAGGTATTTTTGATTGATCTCTCAGAATATACATATATATTACTAATTAACTATGTTCAAATGATATAAAAGAATAAAGAAGATAATTTGAGAAACTTTTTTGTCAAAAATTTTTATATATGAAAAAATTCAATATTGTTAAGGAATAAAAATATATAATTCTAAAAGTTTATTAGNAGACAGACAGACAGACAGACACACACACAATGAGAGACAGACACACAATAATTGAAACATAAGTAAATAAAAATAATACAAGGGCTGTTTCTTTTTCAACCTCCGATAGTCCATAAAACAAGAACAAATGTAAATAAAAAAATGAATTTATTATTAAACGTTAGGTACAAAATTGTTTACTTTCCAACATAATCACCATGAAGATTGATGTATTTGTCTATCTGTGGATGAGCTTTGAAATTCCCTTTTCATAGAATGTTGCCGCCAATGACTTGAGATGGGCCCTAATGCTGTTTTGAAGATCGTCATTAGTCTCGTACCTCTGCCCTGCTAGCCACATTTTCAGTTCAGGAAAGAGGTGGAAGTCTTCATACATTAAAAGTTCCCAGCTGGGTGGAAGTCTTCACCATCTTTAAACACCCAGCATATAGCCCCGATTTAGCAAAGAGTGCTTTCCACCTCTTTCCTGAACTAAAACTATGGCTAGGAGGGCAGAGGTTTGAGACTACTGACGATCTTCAAAACAACGTTAGGGCCCATCTCAAGTCATTGGCGGCAACATTCTATGAAGAGGGAATTTCAAAGCTCATACACAGATAGAGAAATACATCAATCCTCATGGTGATTATGTTGAAAAGTAACCAATTTTGTACCTAACTTTTGATAATAAATTCATTTTGTTATTTACATTTGTCTTTGTTTTATGGACCATTGGAGGTTGAAAAAGAAACAGCTCAAGTACTTTAATAATATTTTCATTATGCAAATTAGCTATGTAATAAAATACAAAAAAAGTCATTAATTATTGTTGTAAAACAGTAAAAAAATAATACTGATTAAAAATAATTAAACAACAAAAAAATAAACAAAAATAAACACTAGAATTAGTAGATAATCTTCATTTAGATAGTGTTGAACACAGCTATTTTTATTAGAGTTTCCTGACAATTGTTATACAGCTTTTACTTAGGTAACTGGTATTTCTCAAGAATCAAAATATCAATTAATATTCACAAGTTTTTAGCTATATATTATCCAAGTCATTCTTCTTAGAAGAAAGATGATGATAATTGTTTACAAGTTTAGCAAAATCTAAAGTAACATTTACTATTATAATATTGTTTCAGATAACTTAAATTTAACTTGTATAATTAAAAACAAAAAGTAACATTTCAATAAAACTGTTAGTTAAATGATATAAAAATATTCAAAAATTTATAACAAATGTAAACTTCATTATGGGCACAATAAATGAATTATGCTCTAATTTTACTCTAATTGATGCATTAAACCTATTTAACAATTAAAGTATTTCACCAAACTTCAGTAATGCTAAAAAGTTTTAAACTGATGTTACTTTAAAGATCTGATTTTGGAGTCTTATTTTCTAACATTCATTACACTAAAATCAATTATGATAGATTAGAAATGAGCTTGGCACAGAGCTATTATTTATAAAGAATGCTAAAAATATAGAACTGGATAAAACTACTATTCAAACAGAACAAGTTTGAAGTTTTAGATGATGACTGCTTCAACACTGTTTCAGTAATACATGCATTTGTGTTAAAAACAAATGAACATTTTACCATTTGTTTCTTTTCATTTAATTGCAAAACAGGAAATTTGTATCTTTTCAATTAGATCTTTGTATTTTTGAATCAAAATCATTAAGAACATTGTTCTCTCTACATTTGTATAATCTGAAGTTCTTACTTGTTTCAAGTTTGGTTTAATCATATTGAATGTATTTAAACAATATACAAAATGTTTAATGTCTAAGAGCTATGCAAAAGTTAAGAAAATAATCATATCTTCTGATACAAATAGAAAAATGCTGTTAAGAAATCTCATCAAATTGAGTTAGAGAATGTTAGTGAAATAGAACTTTGTAATTAAAATTTACTTCTTTTAGGAAGTTATTGGATAATGGAACATTATTTTAATGAAAGTTGATAAAACTGGCCATTAGAATAAAAAGAACACATGTAAACTACAAGATAATTTTTTTATGTAAGTCACATATTTACATTTTATTAGAGATAAAATATTTTAATAACAGCATAAATTATAGCATTATTATTATATTAATGGTTTTGATGATACTGTTATTTTGATTATAATTACATATAGTTTTTATAATATTTATTTCAAATATTTAAAATTATACAATTTATATTTTCTAATCAATATTTTAAAAATTCTTACCTAGTTTTACTTCAGCATTATCAGTTAGTAATACATTCTGTCCTTTAATATCTCTGTGAATGATTTTATTCCCATGAAGATGACTCAAACCCTGTACATAATACAATATTTATTTTATAAAACATATTTTAAAAATAACTCAATAATTGAATACTTGATTTTAAGATAAATTGTATGCAATTTTAAACAGAAATTTCTTTTATAAAATATTACATAGAATTTATAATTTTTACAATACCCTGAGAATTTCTCTACATATATAAGCTATCCATTCTTCTTTTAAACATTGACCCTTGGTGGCTGAAATAAATTTTTTAAAATTATTATTATATTTTAAATAAAATAATTAAATAACTGTTATAAACATCAATGATTAATGTAGTAAAAATTCATTATTATTTAATAATGGTAATATTTTGTAATTTATAAAAAAAAATGAAAAAATGAAAATGAAAAATGAAGAAAAAAAAAAGAATAAATTACAATATGTATTAAAAATATATTATTATATAATCAAAATATAAACTAGCTATACTAAACTTAACAAAAAGGAAATTAAATTATAAATTAAAATAGTATTAATTTAAATTATCAACCAAAACTCAGATAATTCTACTTATTTAATAAATCCGAAACAAAATATTCATGAATCTCTTAAGAATGATCTTTTAAATTTTTTTAAGGAAAGTTTAGTGCTCATAGACATTTTATTTTATATATTTTGTACCTTACAATAAAGTTCTGTTATGTAAATTGTTAGTAGCTATACAAAAATTAGAATTTGATTATAATTCTGTAAAGTTTTGTTCTGTAGCAGTATATATATAGTAAATTTTTTGTTTATATGTAATTTTCTCAATTTAATAACATTGTATCAATTTTGTTTCTTTTTAGAAAACATTAGTTATTTATACTATGTAATTTTTATCTAACCTCATATCATCTTTTAAACAATCTTAATTCTTCAAACACTATAAAACTGGAATAAAGTATGTCAGAAAAAATGCATACTGACAAACCTTATAAATGAAATTCCAGTATAGTACTTTATATAGTATTTTACCCGCATTAAACTGTGCTGGAATTTCATTTATAAGGTTTATCAATTTGCATTTTTTATGACACTCTTAATATTATACTATTGTATGAATTTCTTTGTATCTTTGTTTGGGTGGTGGACCAAGTTATACTCTGCAGTATAATAAATTTCAATACATAAGAAGATAGTGGTAGTATCTTTAATTTTAGTATTAGCTACTCTTTTTTTCTCAAAATTTTGAAAATTAAGAAATAATTTCCAAAATTTAATTCTTAAAAAAACCTCATAGGTTTCAAAATATGTCCACCGTGTATATTTGTATATTCATACATAAATATTTTCTAACAATATTTTCAAGTGAAAAATAAAGAAACAATTAATCAGTTTAATTATCTAGCTTATATTAAAGTTACAGATTATGTAATTAAAATTAATTACATATTCTGTAACTTAATATAAAATGACAATGACTTAAAATTGGATATGATTATTATTTTAATATGTGAACTTTAACGATTATCTTTTCTAATAATAGTAATAATTTGCATACATGGCAATAAAACAAAAGTTATTACAATTAAAAAAATGTTTTAAAAAACTTACATTTTACTAAATCAGTTACAGAACCTGCTCCACAATATTCCATAACCAACTACAAGAATAATAAGTTTAAAAAAATTATTATTTTTATTTTGCAAAATATTTAAAAATTCTTATGCAAGAATATATAATTGAAATTACTAATGAGAAACTTCAAACAGAAACAATATTACAATTTATGATCACACACATTCAACATAACCACCATCAGAATATATTAAATATTACAGATTTTAGTTTCACAAATTTAAAATGAAAAATTATGTTCTATAAAAACTACAGAAACACAATCTAAGAAACTTGGCAGAAAATTTTTTGATTATAGAAACAACATACCATTCTAAACTCTACATTCTATAAAAATTAAATTGATAAATACACAGTTCAAACATTGTAAGACTGGAATAAAGTATGTCAGAAAAACCTATGAAGCTTATAAATGAAATTCCAGTATAGTACTTTATATAGTATTTTACCTGCATTAAACTGTGCTGGAATTTCATTTATAAGGTTTATCAATTTGCATTTTTTATGACACTCTTAATATTATACTATTGTATGAATTTCTTTGTATCTTTGTTTGGGTGGTGGACCAAGTTATACTCTGCAGTATAATAAATTTCAATACATAAGAAGATAGTGGTAGTATCTTTAATTTTAGTATTAGCTACTCTTTTTTTCTCAAAATTTTGAAAATTAAGAAATAATTTCCAAAATTTAATTCTTAAAAAAACCTCATAGGTTTCAAAATATGTCCACCGTGTATATTTGTATATTCATACATAAATATTTTCTAACAATATTTTCAAGTGAAAAATAAAGAAACAATTAATCAGTTTAATTATCTAGCTTATATTAAAGTTACAGATTATGTAATTAAAATTAATTACATATTCTGTAACTTAATATAAAATGACAATGACTTAAAATTGGATATGATTATTATTTTAATATGTGAACTTTAACGATTATCTTTTCTAATAATAGTAATAATTTGCATACATAGCAATAAAACAAAAGTTATTACAATTAAAAAAATGTTTTAAAAAACTTACATTTTACTAAATCAGTTACAGAACCTGCTCCACAATATTCCATAACCAACTACAAGAATAATAAGTTTAAAAAAATTATTATTTTTATTTTGCAAAATATTTAAAAATTCTTATGCAAGAATATATAATTGAAATTACTAATGAGAAACTTCAAACAGAAACAATATTACAATTTATGATCACACACATTCAACATAACCACCATCAGAATATATTAAATATTACAGATTTTAGTTTCACAAATTTAAAATGAAAAATTATGTTCTATAAAAACTACAGAAACACAATCTAAGAAACTTGGCAGAAAATTTTTTGATTATAGAAACAACATACCATTCTAAACTCTACATTCTATAAAAATAAAATTAAATTAACTCTGTAAATTAATTAGAAATTTAAATGTTACAAATTTTATTATTTCTATAGATATATTAATAATTGATTTACTAATTAATGACCTCTAAATTTCAATGTAAAGTTGAAAATAGCATTTGATAAATAATTTGGACAATATTTATTTTCTTCACTCAACAAAACAATTAGATTAATTTAAATCAAATTATTGAATGATAAACTATTGAAATAAAAAAAATTAAGAAACTTGATTTTTCATTTCTGATTTTAAACTCCGAGTCTTTACATTTTGTTAATTTGAGATAGCTTTTCTATAATATACCAAAAATGAGAGAATATGAAGAATGGAGTAAAATTTTGTATGATAAAATTGAATCATGTATTCTAAGATTTACTGTGTCACAGCACAACTGACAGACAAACTATAGGAGAAATATTTTATTTAAAGACAACTTTGGTTGTACATTTTTGGTATTTATAGTGATATATCAACAAAGTCAACTATGTTTTTTATAGACTGAAATAGAGGCAAAGAAAAGAACCAATAAAATAATAAGTTCCCTAAGCAAATGTATTAATGAAAAAGTAGATAAAAATATCAAAACTTTATATCTTTTCAGTAATGGTGCTGCTAGTCAAAACAAATATCATATCCTAATTGCATTTCTTTCACCATTAATAAAAAAAAGTAGATTCAATAAGATAGTGCATCTATTTTCTATAATAGGACACACAATTTCCAACATTTGATAGACATTTTGAAAGAATAAAAGTAAGAATAAGAAAAAAAATAAAAAGAAACAGGAAAAAGTGCCACATTACACAAGGGATTTTAATTATCATTTGTAAATTCTTTAAAAAGACAGCTATCAAACTTAGTGAAAAATTTTAAATTTCTGATTATTTACATACTGCTCAGATCCTGAAAACAATCTTGAGCTTTCACAAACCATATCAGGCATGGCAATGTCATGTTTTAGACCAGCGATTCCCAACCTGTGGTACGCGTACCCCTAGGGGTACGCGATAGGTTGTTTAGGGGTACAGAAAAAAGTTTGTTATTATGGCAGAAAAAATAATATATTATGTATCACAAACTAATAGTATTAAAAAATTATTAGATAAATAATGTTCCTTGCAACAATCACAACTTTATTATACATTTTTTCTTTTAGTTTTTTTTCTTTAATTTATAGTTACAATATGTAAAATTAACAATACGGTTACTCACTAAATTTCTTAAATGAGGGGTACAATCTAGAGATATGACATGTCACGGGGTAC